CAGAAATGGTAATATTTAGGGGCTGAGACTCTCTCAGCCGCAGATCTTTCTCCAGGACATTTCATATTCTCTTCCATATTCAAACAACTTCTCAAGCGTGCAACTCAAAAATGTGCTGCATGACATATGAGTACATGAAATCTCCAATTTGCACACGCATAACTAGAAACTTTTATTTCCTGTAACTCTTTGATGCAGAGCAGTCTTGTGAGTTTGCTTCAAGGTGTCTCCTCACTTTTTCACAACATGAAGCTTCCCTTCCCAAGGAAAAGGCCTGATAATTGTGCTTCCAATAGATTCAACACTAAGCTGTTCAGTCAGTCACTCCATAATCCATTTTGGTCGAAATTAGCTAAGACAACTCAAATCAGCCTAAAAAAAGTCTGGTTTAAGTTAACTGTGCCTTAGAGCTCTCAAGAAACAGTTGAGTCAAGAGATGACAGGGAACTGTGGAGGGGAGAGGCGTGGAGACATGGGTTACCAAAACTCATCATCTTCTAAGACGTACTTTAAATTCTTAGTATTTTTAATTCCCTGTGCATTTCTCAATAATAACCAGATTTAACAAAGAGCTGAAACCAAAGATGTTTCACAAGTAAAGGTGCAAATAATGCTACTAATAACAAAACTGGGTATTAATTTGTTCTTTCTTCTGTCCTCCTTAAAAATGTAAGCTATTTAAAATACACCCCTCTTCCTCTCCAAACTCACCTAAAATTTAAATGATTTCTCAACTAAACACACTTTCAAATCCACTGTTTACTTTCACTAGAAGTGAAACACTATTTCATGTTGTATTCTCAGGACCTGCATTGCGCATTGCATAACTTTTGCATATTCTTAGAACAGTCTTGACCAAAATAAAGCATTAGTTTTCCGTCATCCTCTGAATAAAATGAAATTCTCATAACTCTAGCTCCCAGATACACACTGTAGGTAAATAGACTGAGGAAACAAATTTGTGTAATATTCTTTGGACCCTTAAGTACCTTTTTGCCAATTCCTCCTTTCTAGTTAAAGTCATTTTTCCAGATTCAGTCTTTTTGCGATGTATGTAGAGAAATTAAATCAAGTAATTTTTTAAAACCAAACATTAGAAGGTTCCTCTAATACTTTTTTAAAAATTAACACAGGGTAGCCTGTTCAAAAGACTACCTCCAAGTACGTGAAAAAGATATGTTTAATTACCACCAATAGCATGTGAGCAAACTCCATTAGTTTGAGGTAATGTTTACCTGAACTGAAAATAGTGCCAAATTTAACAGAAAAAACCCCCATGAACTCCTAGGGTTGATCACTTTATGTGCTTACATGTAGTTGGAAATAAGCTTTCTTCACTTATCTCCCATGTACCTTATTTAAACACACAAGCTGCACAACAAAATGTAGATATTCCTTGCCAGCTGAGCACGGCGCACACCTCAGTGCGAGACGCTTCACAGTACCTGACCCTTTAATGATGCAGGTCAGGAATTTCATCCTTAATGCTACGGAAACCAGGTATTCAGGTAATCAGTCCAACACAGCGGATGCATGGCAGCTTGCTGTCACTGGTATCACATCAAAGAGACAGGATGTTAGCTTCCAGGTTTTTATATCTCTATTAAAGAATATAGAAAAGCCGGTCTTGGAGCAAAGTAATAATTAATGAATTCTTTTTATTCTGGGCACAATTTAAGCCTACAACTGGATAAAGTGCATTGTTCCTAACTACCTGCAAATTTCAGTTAATCTATACCCAGTACTGCAGAGAAATCTCAGTTAAGAGGCATCAAGAGGAATGTCATTTCATTTTAACTGTCCTAACACTGTCCAATAATGCCGTCTTACACAAACTTAAGTAGAGATTTACAAATTTCTCACTGAAATGCCATCGCAAAATGTTAATAAAAGGGAAGAAGATTACTGCCTTAGTACAACTCCTAGTAGGCTACCGAAATCTCCAAACAAAAAACCCCAGGTGCTTCAAGAAAGAGATGCAGGAAAATAGATGAGACAAGGGAATTAAATACCCAAAAAATGGATTTCCTCTATGATCTTCTGCCAGACTAATTTCTAAGAATGACAGAAGAAGCTTAAATTAAGTAAAATGATGCAGTTATTAGGTGGGAAGACATGACAATTTTTCTAGTCTAGAATAAAAATGATACAGTGATCAGATAACAGTTACTCAAACTATTCAATCCTTCACCAAATTATAGTAATGCAGAAATGCAATTACTCTCTACAGTGACCTCTCAAAGGAAAGCAGAATTAAGATTGGAACTAAGCAGTAAAATCAGAAATGTGACTTTCCAGAAGTTTCTGTATAATCTTTAATATATTTTAAAACTCAAGCATTAAATTATTTTTTTTGTGTCAGGCGTAGAAGAAAAGTTCAGCATAAAAGAACTGGCAGAATATACTGTAAATCTTTACAACCAAATAAAGAAATCACATTAGTTTAGATAAGGAGCAAAGATCACTTTCATCCCCCAGGTGACCTGGCTATATCCTACATTAAGGCTATAATCTCAGTCTTATCTATGACTTGCTTTGCTTAATTGCATCATATCATTAATATTATTAATTTCTGCCATTGCCCATAAAACTGAAAGCCTCATGCCAATTCTGTAAAATCTATAGGTTGGAACTGAATTAAACACAGCACATAGCGAATTGCTTAAAACCATCATGATGTACTACGAAGCACCAAGCACATAAGTATTTAAAAGACAGAGCACCTATCTTTATTCTTTTGGTCCAAGAAACAAGGGAAGAAGAACATAGGTTTCTTGCGTGACTAGAATTTGTTGGCTTTCAGAACGCTTTGAGTCAAAGTAGAGCTGTATTGTGTCTGAACAGGCCTCATAAAGAATGCATTTTTCAGATACTCTTCTCCAACTTTTAAAGAAGGGCAGAGCTAACTAAAATGCTTCTGTACCAGCAACCTCCAGAAAACTAGTCTCAAGATCAGCGTGGAATAAAATCCAAGGTGAAACTCAAGTTACAGGTAACAGTGTAAAGCAAGCACTGACAACATGCTCTCTAGAGAATATGCCCCCTGATACATTCATAAACAAATTCTGCACCTTGTTATGTTCAGTTTTACACAGAGATGGTAAAATAGAGCTGTGACGTAATGCAGAAATAATGTGGATGCCAACAGAAACCTTTCACACTCCATGTTCCTAAGAAGGAAGACTTTAGCTGTTTAATAATGAGCAGCTCAATGATCAACTAGCCTTCAAAACTTGTTGTCCTTTCTTAATATTTTTCTTTTAAACCCAACTGACCTTCTCTAGCTGTTCTGTACCAGCGACACAGCTGTATTTCAGAAGTTCCAGGTAAGGCACATAAAACATATCACTTTAAGTATATATCCCTTAAGTGCCAAAATCGGTTAAACTTTCATACCTTGTGTTAGAATCATAGAATGGTCTGGGTTGGAAGGGACCTTAAAGATCATCCAGTTCCAATCCCCCTGCCATCAGCAGGGACACCTGCCACTAGACCAGGTTGCTCAAAGTCTCATCCAACCTGGCCTTCAACACTTCCAGGGAGGGGGCAGCCACAACTTCTCTGTGCAACCTGTTCCAGTGTCTGACCACCCTCGCAGTGAAGAACTTCTTCCTAATATCTAATCTAAACCTGCCCTCTTTCAGCTTAAACCCATTTCCCCTTGTTTTGTCATTAACTGCCCTTATGAAAAGTCCCTCCCCAGCTTTCTTGTAGCCCCTTCAGGTACTGGAAGGCCACTATAAGATCTACCCAGAGCCTTCTCTTCTCCAGGCTGAACAGCCCCAACTCTCTCAGCCTGTCCTCATAGGAGAGGTGCTCCAGCCCTCGGATCATCCTCGTGGCCCCTCCTCTGGACTCATTGTAACTGCTCCAGGTCTCTCTTGTGTTGGGGGCTCCAGAACTGGACACAGTACTCCAGGTGGGGCCTTAGGAGAGCAGAGTACAGGGGCAGAATCACCTCGAAGTATGAACTCTGCTAACATGCCTTTACAGAACGTTTCATGGTATAAGAATAGTTACCACACAATGTAAAACAATACTTTTTTCTTTTTCGTCATAAAGGTTTCACCTATAGATAAGCCTTCCTTTATGGTTGTTCAGTGATTAAATTTATCCCTACAGACATTTTTAAGACAAACTTTCTTGTACCACAATCCATTGTAAAACAAGTCAGTTGAGCTCTTACAAGGATACTGCATATATGAACCACTCTTACGTGCCAGTAAATTCTAGCTGAAGAATTTTAAACCAGTGTTCATAATCCAACTAATAGAAAATACATGACAGATTTCCTCATGAAATGTAAGGAAGGTGAAGAAGTCAAACTTACACTTTTTTTCCCTGCTCCTTAACAAGTCTACCTTATTTACACAGGTTACAATAAGATGTTTTTAAATCAACATTATTAACATTTCAGTGCTGTTTCTAGTAAAAATAGCTTTCAGAGGAAGCAAGACAGTTATGCAAACAATAAATCAGAGTATTACTAAATAATTACCTCAGCTTTTATCTTCTGTTAAGCTCCTTGAAAACAACAGTATATTTAAGGATTATGAAAAATACTTTATATATCTCCTTTCCAAGGAAGATCTAAATAGCAGTACTATAGGTCAATTCTTGGATGTGATTAGCCAAGCTGTGACCGTTTTCCTCCTTTAGAAAAGCATATGGCACTGACCACATTTCATATTATATAAGCGTATATAAGCAGCTGGTAACCATGCTCAAGATGCATTATAGAAGCAAATTCCTCATTTGAATATTTATGAAATTATAAGTAGTTTGAATAAGAAGTCAGAGTAACATGTAACACAATATAACAGAATCAGTGGGAGTTGAAGTTTTGTTTGTTAGGGTTTTGTTTGTTGGGGTTTTTTTTATTATATTTTGTTTTTTAATGGGCCACAAAACCCAACAGGGTCTTTAACTGATCACACAATAAAACTCTTGTGAAGTCACCTGGAGATCTTTTCTCTCTGCAAATTAAATATTTGACCTACCTTGAACGGTAAGTTCTGCTTGAGCTTCAATCGTCTCGTTTCCATTATCTGCTATGCAGGTATATGTCCCAACGTCCTCTTCCGTAACATCACGGATCTCCAGACTGCCTCCCGCAAGCAGAAGAAATCTTTCATAGCTGTGCAAAACAGGACATACGGGTGATTCGTTGGACAAACTGAGTTAAATAACATGTTACCAGAGAAACACACACAAGCCCTCTGCCTGAAATGCCTACATAAACTGAAAAAGTGTACATGGAATATTCCTGGGTCCTGTTCACAAGGAACTTTTAACTAGATGATCAAATTCCATACTCTGACTTCACATTTAAAATTACATTCAGCTATATCAACTCCACAAAAGGAGCTCAGCTTTTTACACCTTCAGTTCTTCTTAATTAAACATGATTCAATGTATTTAGACAATAGGAACTAAAACATAAGATAAATAAAATAACCATTTCATAAAAAAACAAACAAACAAACAAAAAAACCAAAACCCACGTTTTGCAGATTCAGCTGGAATGACTTCTTGCTTAAAAATTTAAGTGAATTGTAACATGTCAGATCTATGCTTGTACAGCATAAGAAACAGCAATGCATATTGTATAGTGTATAGTAATCACATTTTTGGAAAAAGATAGTAATTTCAGTAAGATTTCAGAAGATGATACAGGTTAACAAAATTTTAAAAGACAAATTCAACAAATTGGCAAGTTTCTGTAGAGAATTTTCTGCTTTTTATGCTAAATGTAGTAGCTAAATGTAGCATTTTACGCTGCATGTAGAACCCTCAGCAGCTGAAAAAAAATGACATAGTTTACTTGATGGCTTCCTTTCTGACATTATCAAGAAATGGCTTAGCAGGCAGGAATTGACTGAATTATTTCAAAATATTAACTGAATAGCACATTACAACAATTAATTTTTTTGGTCCCTATAGAGTGGCCAACGTACAAAAATCAATCTAAAGTGCTTTCTCTACTTGAAATTTTACTAGAATTATGTTAGTAGAACCAATGTTCTTACCTCCTTGGAAAGACAGGACACAGCCTTCTGACTCACCTAATATACCACATTAATATAGATTTATCATACTTCTGTAACTGTTGATCAAATTTCTGACTCAATCCATTTAAAAACTGAACAAACAAAATCATTATTGGAATCAAATGAAAGAAATCAGTCTTAAAGGCATCCAGGGAGATGTCCTACCCAGGTATACCGTAAGGAAAGGAATCCTGTTTCCATGATGTAGTAACAGGAGGACTACAGAAAGTTTGTTTTCGAAGAAGTGCAGGGAATTTGAGTCAAAATATAAATAAATTTGAAAAAATGTATTAAGAGCTTTAAAAAGAGGAATGCCTGAAGAAATAGTAGAGGAGTATGTGAACAGCATTGCAAACATGCTCTAGCTAAGAGGAAAACAGCATGAAGTTTGTCATTAAACCTTTTTTTTTGGAACTGCTCAACAGAGGTTGAAGGACAGAAAGCAAGAAGAAGATACATTATTATTTTGATAGCATTTGATTGTCATTGCTGGGGAAAAAAAAAATAAAAAATGCCCAAGCCTCCTATCATGGATCAGACAAAAATAGGAGACTCAGTGGTAATCAAAGATAGTGAAAGATGTTCTGTCTCATATTTCAAGCAAGTACAATCTGTAAAAAGGAGACGCGAACAGGAGCTGCCACAACTCTTATAACTCCCTCTCCCCCACACCCCCAATTTCTTGTATTCTATTGACCTGCATTCTATCCAGGTAATTCATTAGATTTAAACCACACAAGTCTGTTGAAGTTAGCTCAGAGAAACCGAACCTTGAAGTCCTGTACTGCACCATCTCCAAGGCAAATCTGACCATCTACGAAAGTTCTAAGATCATCTAAAAAGTTCTAAGAAACAATGCTCTTGAACCTCTTTGCATCTGAACACTGACAGTCCATGAACACTGAAGAGCTTTCCAAATGTTGTCAAGGTGAACAGAAACATCACTGAAGCTTATTTGTGAGAACAGCATGTTAGATGTGTTAAGGCTGCACTAAAACCACGCTTAAAGAAAAATAAACAAGACAAGTCTGGACCTTGACACATCTACATATGCAGTTTTGTATCTCCTTTTATTATGTAAAATAGCTCCTTTGATTATTGGGTCTAGCATTTGTGGTGAATTAAATTAATCAGAGTAGGATATAATCTGCTGAAGGCTAAAATGAAAGCAGAAAGAAATGGAGCCAACTGGTAAATGTGCTAGATCTAGCAGGGAGAGGGATACAAAACAAGAAGGCTGTGCAGAAAGAACTGACTGGATATGAGAAGCTGAGACTGAAACGATCACAAAGGAATGATAAAAAGCTATACAGATTTAGTGCAACTTTTATGACATATAGTCCCTTTTTCTGAATATTTACCAATTTCCACAGTTATCCATCTAAAAGTAACAACAACTGTCTTATGATGCCTGCTTTCCCATAGCCAGCCTCTGGAACAGTGAAGTACTTTGTGCATGGTGAGGCAGGAGGCTCATGGGTACAAACCAGCAATTAAGATACTACTAAAGCTATAAAAAATTACTAGATGTTGTCACATTAAACAACAAGTATTTGAGGTTATAGGATCTCGCAAGCTACTTGTAATATGGTAGCATTTCCATGAATTCTCCTTTTGGTCAAGAAACAAGGGTATATAGTTTTCAGACATTTAAATTGTGTGCTATGCTTTTTTTCTCTTTGATTATTTTCCTCAAGAAAACCTAGAGGAAAATCCAGAGTTTACCAGTATGTGTTCCAACACAAGTGCACTGGTGTCAAAACATGGAAGAAAATAATTAATCTGTCAGACTCCTTGGTGATTCCTTCTGTACGCGTTAGCTGGGGAAGAGTTCTGGGCTTAAAGCAAAACTGCTTCTCTAATAAAGTGAAAACATGTTGATTTTGTAAGGACAAGGAAGCATTTCCACAAAAGAGCAAAGCAATCACATTTCAGACACTGGAGACAAAGAATCAGCTTAATATAAAAGTGATAACATAATTTAAAGTATCATTAAAAACAACAAAGATTGATCATTCAAATGTCAGGGAACAGCAAAATCATATTGAAGCCTTTTATATGCATTCCATACAGCCCTCACTTACACACTCATAATATACAATTACTGGAGCTACTCTGGATACCTAACACATGCTTTTTTCTGTTCCATTATCACAAAATATAGTGAGCCTTTATTAATTTACTGTATTCAAACAGCCAGTTATACCCTGAGGTTTTGGCTTTTTTTTTTTTTCCCCTCTTTTAAATTACTATTCCCAAAACATCTTATAATCTATTTGCAGTCTAGGTAAGGTACAGCAGATAAAATTAGACAGTAAATTAGATTATTTTGTGGAATCTACTACCAGAAAAATCTCCATAATTACTCTGCTATGTTTAACCTTTACTGTGTTGGGCAAGTGTAATTCACTTAATACAAATCACTCAGAGTGCCTGGCAAACTATAATATGAAATAATTAAAAATATCACACGTTTGGGTGAAGTATTAATAAAAAAGCCCCGCATTAAGAATATGTATGTGAGCATACAATTAAAGACTTCATTTGAATACATACAGCAACAGCATAAAATTAATGCCACACATGCAACCTCAGCTTTGTGATCTCTTTGCTTTAGAAAACAATTAACCATACACCCATGATATAGTTTTCTGTAGGCATTTTTCAATGATAGAAAATTTTGCTAAATTGAACAGCCCAAAACCACCAGAGTTAGCTGTACTTCAATAGTCCTATTAAAATATCATGTTATTGTTCAGGCTTCTTTCAACTGCTTGTTTGCAGATTAACCATCTCATTTACTACAGCTTTTTAAGGAATTTGCAGTACATGCATTTGTAATTTCTTCCATGTAAGCATCCAAATATAAATCAAGTTACACAATATATGCTGTCTGACAACATACTGAAAAGATTTCAAAGCAAAACATCATCTTCCAAACATCTGAAACTCTGTGCCCATCTTCCAAGCTCGGAAAATCCATCTTGGCAGCCACCTCAACTGAAATGTCACTTTTCAACTTCAGAATCACCAAAAGCACAAAATTACTCTTGCATTTGCTAAAAAACAGACCCTCAGGCAGTAGGATCCTTAGCCTATGAAAGGTTCAAAGTTGGCAAAATCTGAAAAACTACCCAACCTGTATAAATCATTTCCATCATAGCCTTTTGTATCAGGTAACGTGGACAATAAGGTAGATTTTACTTTAGAAAGTTTTCTGTGAAGGACAGAAGATTCATTCAAATAGCTTTTTACTTCAGTGACTTTCCCCACATGCTACCATTTCTCTCCGTATTTTCTACATTCCTGACAGACATATTACTTGTTCTGAGTTCATGGAGAAAATCCAGCTGAAAAAAAAAAAAAAAAAAAAAAAAGAAGAATGCATATTCGCATTGCTGAGCCACATGCATGATGGGGTGAGTGTCCACTCGTACTGCCAATCTTAGATCATTCTGGATGGAGAAGACCTTTAAGATCATCCAATCCAATCATTAACCCAACACTGACAAGTCCCCGACTAACCCATGTCCCTCAGCACTATGTCTACATGACTCTTCAGTCCCTCCAGGGATGGGGACTCCACCACTGCCCTGGGCAACTCCTGCTAATGCCTGAGAACCCTTTCAGCAAAGAAATTCTTCCTCAGATCCAATCTCAACTGCCCTTGGTGCAACTTGAGGCCATTTCCTCTTGTTCTGTCACTTGTTCCTTGGTTGAACAGACCCACCCCCACCTCTCTACACTCTCCTTTCAGGGAGTTGGAGAGAGCCAGAAGGTCTCCCCTCAGCCTCCTTTTCTCCAGGCTCAACATCCCCAGTTCCCTCAGCCGTGAACTCATCACACTTGTGCTCCAGACCCTTCCCCAGCTCCATTGCCCTTCTCTGGACATGCTCCAGCACCTCCATGTCCTTCTTGGAGTGATGGGACCAAAACTGAACCCAGCATTCAAGGTGCAGGCTCACCAGTGCCCAGAACAATGGTAAGAGAACTTCCCTGGTCCTACTGGCCACACTGTTTCTGATACAGGCCAGGATGCTGTTGGCCTTTTTGGCCGCCTGGGCACTCTGCTGGCTCATGTTCACTGCTAACCTCCGAGTTCCGAGTTGAACGAAGAAGACGAGTATGGGGGATGATCACTGCTGTGTTCCTGCTTAAAGGACTAAGAGCAGTATATCCTATATCACAAGATTATATGCAGTAAATACAGATAAGTCTAGAGGCTTGCTTCAGATTTTGAAGCTCTATCTTGGAGCTACAAGCACCAGTACCACCTTGGAGCTACAAGCACCAGTACCACCTTGGAGCTACAAGCACCAGCACCATAAATCTCAACCTAGAAGAGAGTTTAGCCTTTTCCTTTCTTTTCAAACAATGTCGATTTGAGAAAATTATTACATATTATGAAGATTATTAGCTTGACTACTAAGCCAATTCAATGACAAGCTTTCATCACAAGTCAAGGTGACATCATAGACAATGATGGACTTCTTTACTTGAACCAAAAAGTCAGCAGTTAAATTATCATATTTCTTTAAAATCTCTCTTAAATTTCTTTAAAAGTTAACAAGTTCTGAGAGGATTCCTTCAAGCTGTTAGGGTTTTACTGCAATGGAAACTTTTAGCAATGCATATCACTGGTTTCTCACTCAAAGCTTCCTTCTCTTCCACTCAAATTTGTTTGGAAAATATTTTATCACAGCAAACTAATTTCATAATATATTGCATGGTTTGAGGAAGTGCCAAGACTTGCTATCATTAAAGTTTACTCATATGTTATTCATACTTATGCATTAACATAAACCTTATTCCAGTCTTCAACAAATATTCCACCAAAATTAAATATCTTCCCTTTTTCAGGTCTTATAACAAATTTCAATTCCTAACCCACTGCTCCCAATCCTTAAAAATAATCTATTTTTACTAAAAATACAGGCTCCTATACATATTCTCCTTAGCAGTAGAGCTTGAAAAGAAAACATTTAATTTTATATTAGATTAATTGCCACAGCTAAAAAGACAAAAGTAAAAATAAGGTTGTGTGCCTAAACCATTTAACAAGGGGTAAAAGTTAGGGACATACCTGACCATGCTGTTCAAGTTTTCTTTCCTAACCCCATACATACACACACAGATTATATATATGTATATATTTCTATGTATACCTACATATACGTGTGTTAATATACGTAGTGTGCACATATAAACAAAAAACACTATTTAAGAGCTTTTTCCAGGCAGAAAGTACATTCAAATCTACCCAAATGAAAAGGATCAGTTTTTTCCTGGGATAAAGAAAAGCCATGCTATTAAGAAAAACTCTTAATTGTATATCAAAAGGGGATTTTAATACAAAGTAAATGGGATTTAATTTGTAATTAATTTAAAAGAACATGCATAACAAGCTAAGGTACCTATTTTGCAGCAGTCTTAACTGCAGGCCTTACTCCAACAAAGAATCTTAATTTTTAATTCTAGCAATTTTCCAGTTATTCTATTCAAAAGAATAATAGAACAGCTGTCAAGGTAAATTGAGTTTAAGAACTTTTTGTTGTCTGCTGTTTGAATCTCTTCTCTATGTTAAGCCATAGTCATGAGTAGCAGACTTATTTTGGCACGTGTGATCACTTTAATGAACAATGAAGGAAGCTTACTCTTACAGAGTAGAAAAAAAATAAAAATCAAATTTTCTCCTTTACCTACCTTAAAAGTAAACTTTATAATGAGCACCACATTTCACTAAGAAAAAAATGCTGAATGTCACAAGAAAAAAAAAAATTTAGTCAGCAAGGTAACTTTACTGACTCATATTCAGCCAGACCAGAAAGGTTCTGTAAGTAACAGTTCATCTAAAGAAATACCATTTTTATTGTTCAAAACCCCTATTCACTCGTTTTTGGTTCTACCATTGAGCAGAAGGAAACATTTATTTTGAATGCAAGAGGAATATTTCTTTGTCTTTTCAACTTTACCCTCTTTAGTGAATATCATAGAATCACAGAATGGTTTGGGTTGGAAATGACCTTAAAGATCATCCAGTTCCAAGCCCCCTGCCATCAGCAGGGACACCTTCCACTAGACCTGGTTGCTCAAAGCCTCATCCAACCTGGCCTTAAACACTTCCAGGGAGGAGCAGCCACAGCTTCTCTGGGCAACCTGGGCCAGTGTCTCACCACCCTCACACCAAAGAATTTCTTCCTCAGATCTCATCTCAGTCTCTGCTCTGACAGTTTAAAGCCATCACCCCTGTCCTGTCACTCCCTGCCCTTCTCCAAAGTCCCTCCCCAGCCTTCCTGGAGCCCCTTCAGGTACTGGAAGGCCGCTAGAAGGTCTCCCAGGAGCCTTCTTTTCTCCAGGCTGAACAGCCCCAACTCTCTCAGCCTGTCCTCACAGCAGAGGTGCTCCAGCACTTGGATCATCCTCATGGCCTCCTCTGGACTGGCTCCAGTAGGTCCATGTCCTTCTGATGTTGGTGGCCCCAGGACTGGAGGCAGCACTGCAGGTGGGGTGTCAGGAGAGCAGAGCAGAGGGGCAGAATCCCCTCCCTGGACCTGCTGCCCACGCTGCTCTGGATGCAGCCCAGGACACGGTTATTGGCCTCTGGGCTGCAAGCGCACGTTGCCAGCTCATGTTGGCCTTCTTATCCACCAGCACCCCAAGTCCTTCTCCTCAGGAGATGACAACCAGCAGATTCCAAGAACATACAGGCACATACAGCTTTCAGTCTGTCAAGAGGCCTTCCTTGGGCTTGGCAGAGAACATGCATAGCTCATTTCTTGCAGGAGTAGAGAAGTGTTTCATAAAAGGGTGTTTGGGAACAATGACAGTCTTGTGGCTCCTGCCTCACCACACCATAGGATGCTGGAAAGGTGCTCAAGAAAAGATGGCTTTGTGCAAAGAGCTGGTGACAGCACAGAGGAAGCACTAATCTGACTGACAACCTGACACAGGGTTCACAGAGGGATTTGTACTTGCAGCAAAAGTTAACTGAATCCATTCTTGTAACAAAGAGACATAATGCTAAAAACTAACACTAAATATTCTGAAACATCAGGTCATACATGGTTCAGATTGTGCACATATAAAGATCAAACATGTTTACTAATTTTATGCCTCAGCTCTTCAATAAGATTTCTCACTCAATTTTGGAAAGGAAAATAAATGTGTGAAGCCCTCAGAAGTTTATCATGACAGCCTGCACAGAAGAGCTCCTAAGGGAATTAACAGCACTGTATTCGCAGCCAGGATTTGAAAATTTGAGCTTTATACTAAAAATATATATATATATACACACACACATACATGTATATATATATATATAAAAAGAAGAGCTCTTCAGTAAGAGTCACATCCTTGTGCACTGAATGTGACATAACCTAGAGCAGGATGGGGCAAGGGGGTAAGAAAAATTTATAAAGATATGACATAACATCATTTTACATACAGAAAAATTAAGATATTACCAGGAACATTTATTCTGACATTTCATCACATTTGACTGTGCAGCTCTAATGAGTCTGTATCATCCTTTGTACATGAATGATTTCTTATATTTACAAAAAATGAATCTAAATCATGTGCCATCAGATTGACATCAACCCAATTTCTCAGTGGTATTAGCACTGTTAGTCATTATCCACAGAAGCTTGCATTTTCCAGATAAAGACAGTTCAAATTACAAGCCTCAGGATTTTTTAATTTAAGAGTTGACAAAAGGGAGATATATTACTATCACTGGTACTGTAGAGAGACCTGCATATTCCTTTAGCCGCTCTCTGTGTCAGCCGTGACACAACGTAACTTTACTCCGCGTTGTTTCACAATTAACTTGTTGCTACATTAATCTCACCACTGACTTTGAGGGACATTGAGACCGTTTCAAGTCTGTAATTTTGAGGGACATTGAGACCGTTTCAAGATTGTTTCTGTTTGTAATTTCTTTGTTCTAGATAGAGATCATTAGATAGACAAAAAGATAGCTTTTCTTGATAAGATTTGTTCTGCTTTTTATACATCTTTTCTATTTACTTTAAATGAATACACCAGCAATGACAATGTATAATAGAGTAGTTTTCACTTAATGCATTCCTGAAAGACCACAATTTTTTTTAATCGTGCCTAACATTTTAGTATTCTGTTTTAATGAGAAATTATGAAATTCTGCTTTAAACACTTATTCCTAAATTCTTATGGAACATTTAGATGCATACTGGACATCTTCATTGCAGAAAGAATAATGTAAGTGCAGGGCTTCACACAAATAATAAATGCCATCATGAAGAAGTCGGCTTTTCTGCAGTGTCCTTATACCCTTAATTGCTTCTTTTACTCTAGTGGCAATCTAAAAGTAATATATTCTTAATAACCTTCCTGTTTCAAATAAGATTTCTTGGTTTCAGGTGTCTATAAAAAAAAAAAAAAATAAAAAAAATGCTATGAGATTGTTCCACAAGCCTCACAAACGACCTTACTTGCTGTAACACTCAGTCCAGAAATCCTCCAGCATTTGAAAGCCACCTTCTGTTCTCCTGGTTTAAAATTAAGCAGAAAGCAAATTGTGCTCTCATCTCAAATTGTAACTCCGGCTGGATTCCAACTGTTATATCAAAATATACATGTTAGCCACTACTCACCCTTCTGTGATAAGCTCTTCTTCATTTCTTGTCCACCTGATATATGGAGCTGGAAATCCTATGGCAACACATGGAAAAACTGCACTTTGCCCAGTAACTTTAGTAAGTGAAGAGGGCTGCCTCACAAACATCAAGTTCTGTGGCACCTCGGGATCTGCAAATGTTTTGTAAAAGACAAAGCTGTTACCAAATGCAGAATCAGATTATTTTATTTAAAAAAAAAACAAACAAAAAACAATCAAAAAAGGAACAAAAAATACCCAACGAACCACAAATCATAGAATCACAGAATGGTTTGGGTTGGAAGGGACCTTAAAGA